GTTTTAGTTTTAGCATTATAGAAAACTTTTTATATGATTAAGCAGTTTCGATCCTTTGAAGTAAGTAGTATCGGATTGTTTAGAGTTATGATCAAAATTAAGTTTAGGAATTTAGAGTTAGAAATAGGTTGTGGTTGTATATAACTCATTATTATTTATAGAAAAATAAGAATAAAGTGTTTTAAAATAAGAAATAAAGTCTTTATTATAATGATTTTTTATAATAGAAAAATTTATTTTTTTAACAATTTAAAATTTTCATTATTATACTAAATGTATACTCTCTGGGACCAAACTTTAACAATATGCACTTAGAGTATATATTTGGGCAAGAATTTGAGCATACATTTAAAGAGAGTATGCACTTATAGAGGATGCACTTAGAGAGGTTTGACTATATAATAGATTTATAATAGATAAAATTTTCTAGCCTAATTACTATTATAACAAGGCAGACTATATGTTGCATATTTTTATATCATACTATCAACGTAGCCAAAATGCAAGCCTCTTGTTATTTGATGTCCAAGTCCTTTGTTGATGTGGAGCTTGCAATACTTCTTCACACCTATCAATTTCATTTAAAAATAGTATTACCAAAGTATTAAAATTAGTAATAAAATTATCATTATTACTTTTTCACTTATACAAAGTAAGCACTATTTCAAATTTTTGCTTATATTGAGCATATTTTTCTTTTTTTTCTCTATTGCATCAATATATGTTTCTGTTAATATATTTTGTAAATCATTCAAGCTAAAACTCTCTTCAGTGACAGAATCATCTGCCATTGAATCAACTCTATACCAGATCCATGGATTATTATTCGAATCAATTGTTAGTAATTTTTCTTTGCCAAAAATAATTAGAGGATAATCATGTCACCTTATTGTCTCTGAAAACCTGGGCTTAAATTGTTCATTTTGTTTATGAACAAGATGTTTACAGAGACAATAACAACTATAAAAGTAGGCTGGGCAAGAACATACCCAGTTACTTATATTAATATAATATTTTTGATCTGCATCAGGATCAATTTCTGCTTTTGCAGCCTTGGTCCAGTCTGCTTTAAAGTCATGCCACCATGATGGAAATATTCTACCTCCATTATATTGTATTAATTTAATTTGGAAGTCAGGAATAAGTTGCTCTGCTATAATTCGGGTGAGTTGATCTATACGTGGGCGGTTATAGTTATATTTATAATTGTATTTTAGAACTTTCTAATGACTTTCAGTAATCATCATAGTGCTAGCAAAAGGAATAGCAGATGAATATAAAGTGTAAGCAAGTAGTTTCCAGTCTTTTGTATTATACCAATTTGTTTACAAATATTCTCATAATTTTGCAAGATCATTTAAATAACAGAATTGGTATATTTCTTCAATACAAAATTTATAGATTTTCTGTGAATTCATATAAGAGCTTTCATTTACTGGGATAAGTGGATACATAAGTATATGTTTTTTAACTAATTCTAAAAATTTTTTAGTAAGATAATCAGAACAAAAAGGTGCAGCATCATTTTGAACCCATTGAGAGTTAATAAATACGAACTTATTGTGAGCTTCTAATGCTTTTTCTGCTATATAAGTACTTGTTTTAGATTCTTTATTTTTAATTCTTCTATCAATAGCACATTCTACATGCCAGCGACAAAGTTGAATATTGGCTATTAATGACCATACTTCTTCTGCTGCAGATATTTGTCCAGCATCTTTGTTAGTTAAAATAAATACTGGTTTCAACCCCTCATTTCAAAGATCACTAAAAAATATTCGAATTGCTCTTGTTCACATCATTATAAGGTTTTCTAGACTATATAGATCTTTATTTGTACTATTTAGTATAGTAAGGTACATATATGCTATTGGCATGCTATATCTACCACAATTTAAATTAACAACAAAAAGTTTAAATTATTCTTGATTAGTCTTAAAAGTAGAATCTATAACAATTTCTGTAGCATTTTTGATACCAATATGTCTAAAAAGTGGTGTTAGAAATTCCAAAGCCCGTACGAATAGATTTTCCAGATATTGAAGAACTTTAAATCCTTTATTTTTAATTTCAGATTGTTCGAGATACAATTTTGCTGATAAAAGCTGATTTTCTTGATTCATTATATACATTTTTTTATTGAAGCAGATACCCAATAGTATACCTGCTTGACTGTATGATCTTTTGGATTAATAAGGTTATCTGTACAGAGCCAACTATAAACTTCTGGACTTTGCAAATTATATAATATGGTATTGTTTCAGATCTATTCTTTTGCTCTTACAGGAAAATCAATTTAATGATATGTTGGTTCTGCATATGCTATATTGTGACTTCCTTGTATAAGAACATATTTTTATTCAGAAAAAATAGTAAGCTGAATTTTTCTTTTACAATTAAATCTATTTATTGGGGTTCAAGCTTCACTAAGTCATTTGAGTGGTTGGCTTCCAGTCTTTTTCAGGTTCTGTTATCTCGTATTGTATACCAAAGATATATTGTTACAGAGCCTGTAAATTTTTTATTTAAACTTTTTAAGTGTATATTTCATATTTCCCAATAATAACTGGAACCAGATTCTAGTGGTATAATAAATACTCTTGCAAGCTGACTAAATCTTTCTTTAATATCTTTAGAATTCGTTATATTAGTTAAAATTTGCTGATTTAGATTAATAGTAGCAAAAAGACCTTCATCCAATTCAATCTCAAATACAAATCATGCTGGCTGATTAGATGTTTTTATCTCTTCAAACTTCTTTGTGATAATTTTATGTATTTTATCCAAATCGTATAGAAAACTATCATAATTTTTCTCTGGATCATTATTATATTCGTTATCAAAACTTTCATATAGCATTGCATTTTGAGACTTTTCAGCAAAACTCTCTATATAAATCAAAACTTATATTTGATATATTATCAAATATAACATCATTAGAATTATCAAACATGGCATTGCTAAAATCATTAGAAGTAATACTGCTGCTTTGATAGACTGTTGATTGATCACTTTTCTTTTTTTGTCATATGTTATTCACTCTTTTATCATATCCATTGCATGTATTATATTGTGTATTTTTATGAAAAAATTCATTTAATTCCTTCATTTTGTAGTAACCGTTGTACATCTTTTTAGTAGTGTTTTGATTAAGATTCATTGTGAATTTTATTGGCAATTTTATTCAAGGCATGGCTGAAACAATACAGATAAATTGGTTTATTATTTTTTAGTTTAAATTATTATAATTATTATTTTGTAGAAAACTTTATTAAAGTCAAAAGAGATGATTTAAATACATTTTAAATTTTAAAAATCATGTATTAATGCACTAAATCGATTTTGTAAAATTGCTTTTTCAATGAATTTTAATTGCTTTTACTTTGTTTATATGTGATAAAGCTGTATCACTAATTAATTATTAATCTTTATATATATACATTTTTTCAGGTATCCTTAGTATGACGATAAGTTTAAAGTAGGTATATGTACATACCTATTAAAGAAGGTTTAACATGAATATACAAAAGATAACTAAATAAAGAAGGCATAATATGAATATACAAAGGATAACTAAATAAAGAAGTATAACATGAATATATATACAAAGGATAACTAAATAAAAAAGCATAACATGGATATGTATGTATACAAAGGATAACTAAATAAAGAAGACAAAAGATGAATCTACTAAAGAAGCATAATATGGATACGTACGTATACAAAGAATAACTAAATAAAGAAGACAAAAGACGAATCTACAAAGAATGATTAAATAAGTAGAATAATCTTCTACTAGAAAAGTATGTAGTAACTTAGTAACTAAAAGACTTACTATAATCAAACATATATTGAGCAGAGGAAAGGTTATAATTTTTTAATTTGTTATAAATAAAAAAAAAAAAATTACACAATTATTTACTCCAGTATCTGTTGTTAGTGCATAGTTATTAGGTGAAATTATTTTAACAAATAGCAAAAGACAAGTCTAAACCAGGTAAAAAAAAAGGCGAAACTCCTGGTGAAAACCAAATCTCTAGAGAAAAAATTATTTACTTTTAATGAATATAGAATACAATGTATGATACTAAATAATGCTTTCATATAGCCTCTTTTCAAATCCAGTTCTATATTTTTTCTTATTAGATACTGATATAATAATTTTACTATTACTGTATCAAAAAAGTAATTCTGATGCACCTGACTTTAGCATTCCCTATCGCTATTTATGATAAAAACTTAAAAATCTAGTTTAATATTAATATGGTACAAGAAATGCTTATCATTACTATAAATTGTAGTACCTATCAATGTGCTATTTTTATATACCACAAAGGCACTAATTTTTTGCCTCTAATTTTTTTTAAACACAACAAGAAAAAAAAATTGCGGTTTAAAGAAAACTTTCATATTGATCATATTACTGCTAGTTTGATTAAATCATAGCATCTACAAATATATTAAATCATTGCATCCACAGATATACTATTTTTTGAAATCTATACTAGTACTAATAAATTTTTTGCATTAAATTTTAGATTTTGCAATTTGATTTTTACAAATGACAACTAAGTCTAAAAGGTATAATTTGAGAAATAACTCTCCTGTTAATTTGGAAATAGATGAATTTAAACAAATAGAAGAACTTGAGAAATATCTACATGAATTTGATGAGGTTATATATATATATATTGTTGTGATCGATACTAAAATTTGGGGTCTTAATTTAAAAACATAAGCCCTGCTAAAATACACACTTTGATTATAAGTTCGAGTTCAAAATCCTAACGCGACTTTAAAAAAAAAAGATGAAAAAATTGCTTCAAAAAATTTTAAAATTTTATATTAAAATAGATACAAATTTTATCATTAACTACAATATTTAATAATATATCTTTATTAAATTCATTATATTAAATAAGCTTATTAATATTTTAGCCAAGAACGATTGTAGAAAAAATTCAAAGTTTTTGGAATAATGAGTTTAAAAAAAAACTTTTGTAAGATTGAATATCAAATTATTGCTAAAAAAAAAAATAAAATAAATAAAAAATAACAAATTTTATAAATTAAAAAGATTGATGAACTAGAAGCTTTTGGTTTTCAAATAAAAAAACCTAAATCAAAAAAACTAAACAGCTCAATGATGAAATGTGAAAAAAAGATTTAAATGCATCACAACTAATTTTTTTTGACAAAATTCAAGATGAAATTAAAGTGAAGAATGTAGAAGAAATTAATTGGAATAATATGAAAAGAAACTATAATGATGTGGATGATAAAGAATCTTTTATCAAAGATTTTTAAGAAAATTGGTTTGTTAAAAGAGATCGTGTAGTCACAAAAAATCAAGACTGTGAATTGGATGATGTTATTTTTAAATAGGCGCAGTTTTTACTTTTAGCAAATTATCTTTTTAATACTAATGATAATAATAAGTCACATCTTAAGTATTATCAAATTAATTATCAAAGATTCTCTGAACTTCATGATATTGTTGGAAAAAAAATTTTATTACTTCCTATACCAACATCATTTTATACTGGACATGGTATGTATTATTTGAATTTTGCTGTATAGTTGATATTGTTTAGATTTAATATTCAGTATATTATAGACAATGAAAAAAATGTTCAATCATTGATCAATTGGTTTAGGGCCGCAAAAGAAAGTAAGTTTTTTTTTTTTGGTATTATTTTCTCTAGCTTTAATAATTTTATTTAATTAGACAATGATATAAATTCTTCTGTATGAAGAGAGAATTATAGTTTAAAAATGGTTTACTTTTTTAAATATACTTGCAATAATAAGATTACAAATAAAGTTTTTTGGGCTTATTGAAAATCAAATTATTATTTTTATAATTAGATAACTTTATAAATAATTTTAGATTATCTTCATCATCAGAAAGATATATAAGTCTTTCTGAAAATATATTGGAACTAAGTGATTCTGAAGGTAATATAAAAATCAATTAATTTAAAATAGTTGCTATTATTGCAAAAAATCCTTTTTATATTTATAAATAATTTAAAATTATTTAAATTTCATTTTAGACTTTACAAATATGAAAAAAATGCCTCTTTTGTGACTAAATTCATTTAGATACACTTTCACCCACATGCAATATTTATTATCTTCTTTAAGTGTGGTAGATCAATTTAAAATTTGTCATTTTTATAATGCAGAATCTTATATTGTACTAGATGGTCTTAATAAAAATTATCCAAAGAATATTGACTTTGATCACTTACCAAATCGTATCAACAACTTGTCTTCTGAATTGTTTGATATCATAATCAGAAAAACAAAAAGTACGTACATAAATATGGTAATAAAAATTTATAATGAATTGGGAAACAGAGCAAGAAAACCAACTGTGATTATAGGAAGATTTAAAATATTTTAGGTGTGTTTAAAATATGAATTAATGAATTTGTAACCATAACTAAGATCAGGTGTAATATAAATATCAAAAATTTTTTATAAAAATAAAACTTCATAGTTAAGGTTAGAGTTAAGATTAGGATAAGGCTTGGGTTAAGGAAGGCATAGATTATATCAAATTTTAGCAAGGAATTTTTTTTGTTAGAATATAAAAGATGGGTTTATAGTCAAAATTTTGAGTTATTAATAATTTTTTCAAAAGTTTTTGTTTTGATTTTACGTTATACCTAATCTTGGTTATGATTATAGTAACCACAGTTACAAATTTATTAACTCTTAAAATATTTATGCTTCATAAAATTTTTACTTAAAATCTTATTTTTATTTAGTCAGGTTACTATAGTTCTAAAGGGGCATATGTTATTCTTAAAACTCTTAGTTCACTATTCATTGAGTCAGCCAAATTAACATCGAATATGACATTTTCTCAGAAACCTCTGGAGTATCTTGCCGAAGTTCTTGTTCTTGAAACTGCTATTAGACTTATAGCTCAAGATCAGAACATTACATTAGATGAGCTAGCCAAAGTAATAGGAGATAGTATAGAATTTGGAATGTATATGCATGATATAGAAGAGGAGGATATAGAAGTCCTGGAAGATTTATGAAATTATTTTAATATATCAAATATATAGTATACCAGTATAGTATAAATTGTTATATAGTATACTAGTATAGTATAATTTGTTAAATAAATATAATATAGATAAGTATAGTATATACAAACCCTAATATTAAAGAATTTTAATTTTTGTTTTAATAAAAATTGATTTAATCTACTGGTACTAAACACCACTAGTTTGATTTATTAGTATCACTAAACATGCTATTATTTAGCATCTACTATATACTTTTCTAACATATTCATTTATAGAACATACGAATATGCCATTATATAGCTCCTCCATATATAATTTTCAAACAAATTTGTTAATAGTATATACAAAGCTAAAATATTTAGTATCTTGGAATATACTATAATTTAGCATCTCTGTATAAACATTTTAAATATATTCATTTATAGTAATTCCAAAAATACTATTTTAGCATCTCTGTAACTACTTTATAAATATATTTGTTTATAGTAATTATGAACATACTAATATTAGCATCTCCCAATATACAATAATATAGCTCAGTCGTATATACATTTTAATATATTCATTTATAGTAACTCTGAACATACTATTTTAGCATCTACATAACTACTTTATAAACATATTCGTTTATAGTAATTACGAACATACTAATATTAGCATCTCCCAATGTACTATAATATAGCACAGCCATATATACGTTTTAATATATTCATTTATACAATCATCCTCCCATACAATCACCTTCTATATAATCACAAATTCTATATAATCACATAATTTTATACAGGCATTTTTTTTAATATTAAAAATACTTTTATATAATCACAATCATAATACTATCACTATCACATTTTTTTAAAAAGTTTTTTTATTAATTTATTAATAAAAATACCTTTTTAAAATCACAAATTAATAAAAATTTTTTATTAAATTTTATAGATTTGTAGAAATATCTTTAAAAAATTTAAACTGTTTTTAAATAGAATAAAATTTGTTATTTTTACTCAAACTTTGACGATAAATATCTCGATAACTATTAATTCAAATAAGCTCAAATTTTTATTATAGATAGTGTCGAAATACTTCTATTATATATAAAAATTATAGCCATTTTGGTCTGGTAGCTCTCAAGTAATTGATTATATACAATAGTCAATTTTTTAAAAAAATTGACTATTGTAAACAATCGAATATTCGAGAGCTACCAGACAAAATCAGCTAAAATTTTTATATATAATAGAATAAAATCTACAGTATATATGGCTAAAATTTGAGCTGATTTAGATCAATAATTATCGAGATATCTATCGTCAAAGTTTGAGTAAAAATAACAAATTTTTGATTACTATAAAATTTTTTCTTTTTTACTTATACTTTGATGATGGATAACTCTATAACTAGTTATTGAAATTAGCTCAAGTTTTTATCATAGATAGTGTCGATATACTTCTATTATATATAAAAATTTCAGCCAATTTAGTCTAGTATTTCTCAAGTAATCACTTGTATACGATTATTAATTTTTTTAAAAAATTGACTATCATATACAAGCGATTACTTGAGAAACACCTAACTAAATTAGCTGAAATTTTTATATATAATAGAAGTATATAGACACTATCTATGGTAAAAATTTGAGCTAATTTTAATAACAAGTTATAGAGTTATCTATCATCAAAGTTTAAGTAAGAATAGAAAAAATTTTATAGTAATCAAAAATTTATTATTTTTACTTAAACTTTGATGATAGATATCTTGATAACTATTGATCCAAATTGGCTCAAATTTTCACTATATATATTGTAGATATTATTCTATTATATATAAAATTTTAGCTGATTTAGTCTGGTAGCTCTCAAGTAATCAATTGTTTACGATAGTAAATTTTTTTTAAAAAAATAACTATCGTATACAATCGATTACTTGAGAGCTACCAGACCAAATTGGCTAAAATTTTTATATATAATATAATAATATTTACAGTTTATATAATGAAAATTTGAGCCAATTTGGATTAATAGTTATCAAGATATCTATCATCAAAGTTTAAGTAAAAATAATAAATTTTATTCTATTTAATAGACACTTTAAAATTTATATTATTTTACCTTTTTAAAATCACATTATTTTAATTATTCTATATTATATGATTATATAGAGGTAATTTCATTAATTCTATTTAATCACCCCTCTATATGATCACCAAAAAGTGCTAGATAAATTGGGTGATTATATAGGAAGATGACTGTAGTAACTTCAAACCTACTATTTTAGCATCTCCATAACTACTTTATAAACATATTCATTTATAGTATTTACAAATATACTAATATTAGCATCTTCCAAAGTACTATAATATAGCATAGTTGTATATACGTTTTAATATATTCATTTATAGTAACTCCAAATGTACTATTTTAGCATTTTAGTAACCACTTTATAAACATATTCATTTATAGTATCTTCAAACATACTAATATTAGCATCATCCAAAGTACTATAATATAGTACAGTCATATATATGTTTAATATATTCATTTATAGTAACTTCGAACGTACTATTTTAGCATCTTAGTAACTACTTTATAAACATATTCATTTATAGTATCTCTGAACATACTAATATTAGCATTGTCCAAAGTACTATAATATAGCATAGTCATATATATATTTAATATATTCATTTATAGTAATTCCAAACGTACTATTTTAGCATATCATAACTACTTTATAAACATATTCGTTTATAGTATCTCTGAACATACTAATATTAGCATTTTTCAAAATACTATAATACAGTACAATCATATATACATTTTAATATATTCATTTATAGTAACTCTGAATGTACTATTTTAGCATCTCAGTAACTACTTTATAAACATATTCATTTATAGTATCTCCAAATATTCTAAGATTAAAATTTTTTAATCTACTATAATATGTATTGCCATATATGTTTTAAATATATTTATTTATAGTAACTCCATCCAAATATACTATTTTAGCATCTCTGTATCTACTTAAACATATTCATTTATAGTATCTCCAAACTTTCTAAAATTAGAATCTTCTAATTTACTATAATATATATTACCGTATATATTTTAAATATATTTATTTATAGTTTCTCCAAAAGTTCTATTTTAGTATCTCTGTATCTACTTAATAAATATATTCATTTATAGTATCTCCAAATATTCTAAAATTAGAATCTTCTAATTTACTATAATATGCATTGTTGTATAATGTTTTAAATATATTTATTTATAGTATCTCCGAAAGTTTTATTTTAGCTTCTCTATATCTACTTAAATATATTCATTTATAGTATCTCCGAACCTTCTAAAATTAAAATCTTCCCAATTTACTATAATATACATTGCCGTATACATTTTAAATATATTTATTTATAGTATCTCTGAAAGTTCTATTTTAGTTTCTCCGTATCTACTTAATAAATATATTTGTTATAGTATTTTCTAACATGCTATTTTAGCATCTTCAAAGTTACTAATATATAGTATTGCTGTATATATATATTAAATTTATTCATTTATCGTACTGCCAAAAATACTATTATTTAGCATCTTCATATATATTTTTTAAATATATTCATTTATAATATATTCCAATATACAGTCAGACCCCCTAAATGCTACCCCCTAAGTGCACGTCCTATGAAACACCCCCCTAAACGCCCGTTTTTTTTTTTTTTTTTTTTTTTTTTTGGTGTGTAAGTTCTCTGGTTGGGGTAACTCAGAGGCAAT